GGAGGAGGAGGAGGAGGAGGAGGAGGAGGAGGAGGAGGAGGAGATTGGATTTATACCCTGCCCTTCACTACCCAAAGGAGTCTCAGAGCGGCTTACAAACTCCTTTCCCTTCCCCTCCCCACCACAGACACCCTGTGAGGTAGGTGGGGCTGAGAGAGCTCTTGACAGAAACTGCTCTTTTTCGAGAACAGCTCTTATCAGAACTACGGCTTGCCCAAGGTCATCCAGCAGGTGCAAGTGGAGGAGTGGGGAATCAAACCCGGTTCTCCCAGATTAGAGTCCGTGCACTTCACCACGACACCAAACTGGCTCTCTACCTGCAGGACTTTCTCTGGTGATATCCTGACACCCCTTAATCTGTCCTCTTCATTGTCTCTCGTACAGGAATCATGTTCAACGACATCTACACAGCGTCCAAATTTGCCATTGAGGGATTCTGTGAAAGCCTGGTCGTTCAGACGCTCAAGTTCAACGTCTTGTGAGTGGACCGATAGTCAAATGCCCGGGTTTGCCCCCCCCCCCCAAAAGCAGCTAGGCTTCCGCTGGGCAGCATCTGTCCTGGTGATTCACATGCTACCGTGATAATCGAGGGATCTAGAATCTTCAGGAAAGGGAACCGAGTCACCACGCCAGCTTCTAAGTCCTCGCGTGCACATGAAACTGCTGCATCATATGGAGTCGGACTGTTGGTCTCTCCAGATGTCAGCAGGGCTATTTTTGGGCAGGGGCGCACAGGAACGGAGTTCCGGCTGGCTTCAGAGTTGGCCACGCCCACTACAGTCAAAACCTCTGCGTGCGTGGCTACAGAGGGAAGGCCTGGAGAGCGACACCCACCCCCCAGTCACTCCAAGGCGGGTGGGCCAGGAAGGATTGCCTTCCCCGGCCTGTCCAAGGACCAGCTTGCCCAGGCTCCCTGCAGCTGCGGGGCGCCCAGACAAGCCAAGGGAAGGCATGGGGGTGTGACCTAATATGCTAATGAGTTCCTGCTGTTGGGTGTGGCCTATTATGCTAATGAGTTCCTGCTGGGCTTTTTCTACAAAAAAAAAAGCCCTGGATGTCAGTATTGCCGATTTCGACTGGCAGCGGCCCTCCAAGGTCTCAGACGGAGGTCTTTCGCAGCACCTAACGAGGGTGCGTGCTGATTCTCTGCATGTCTCTCTGCTCTGAGCTTTGCTCCTTTCGATCAGAAGGCCTGCTTAGAAGAGTCACTGCCACGTAGGGGACTGGCTCCACGGAGGGTGGACTCCATGTGTTCATTTCAGAGTAAAGCGATGTGTCCAGTGTTAAATTGGGGAAGGGAAAGTATATCTGAACCACAGAAAAGGTGAGAAGAAAGAGGAAGAAGGCTTCGTACTATATATAGCGTTTCTGACGGGCAGAACACCCCGCAGGCAAGCTTTTTCCTAGCAAGAGGCGACGCGTCAGCTGATTCTCCAGCTCCCCCTCCTCCAGCTGTGTTTTGCTTTGCAGCATCAGCCTGATCGAGCCAGGCCCCGTGGTGACCGAGTTCGAGATGAAGATCTACGAAGATGCGGAAAAAGCTGACTACTCTCAGACTGACTCAGAGACGGCGGAGATCTTCACCAATATCTATCTGAAGAATTCCAAGGCCATCTTCTCCAGCTTGGGCCAGAGTCCTGAGGACATTGCTGAGGTGAAAACTCCCAACGTCTTCTCGGTGTGAATGTGTGTGGGAGAAGGATGGCCATCTTGTAGATTTTTCAACCCTGTAAGAGGCCCTAGAAACATAGTCGCTGATCCTGGAGTCGGCACGCTTGCCCTCCCTCCACAAATTAATGGCATCGGACCAGATTGTGAAAGGAAAGAGGGAAGGGACATGGTGACAAGGGATGGGCACGAACTGCAGCTTTGCGGTTCGGTTTGTGGTTCGTGGCTGAACCACAAACTGAAGCACGAACCAATCTGAACCGGGAGGTTGGTTTGCGAACTAGTTTGTATCAGTTCGTGACCCCTGCTTTCTGCTCCCCACTAGGGGGTTCCCCGCAAAATGCGGTGGGGAGCAGAACCATTTGTAATGAGCTTTCATTCGTGAGCCAGTTTGTGCCCATCCCTAATTGTGACAGCAGCAGCCAACAGGCATCCCACTGGCCAGCACTGTATTGCCCTTGACCTCTCACCACCAGCGGGCTGAGCAGCAGGCATGATGTTCATAAACATTCCAAACGTTTAGAGGACAGAGCTGTGTCGGCAGTCCAATATCCGTGATGGACTGAAAACCTCCAAGGTGTCAAGAACCACCGATTCATGCTGCCTGCATGAATAGGGTAAGCCTTGGTTCACTCTGGGTGTGCCATGCTGGAGGGGGGAGCCTTCCATTCCTCCAAGGAGCTTGTGGCACATGTATGTAGTCCCACTTCACCATGCTATCCTCCTGTGATAGGGATGCCAGCCCCCAGGTGGGACCCGGGGAACCCCTGGAATCACAGCTCATCTCCAGACTACAAAGATCAGTCCCCCCCTGCAGACAATGGATGCTTTGGAGGGTGGACTAGGGTTGCCTGCTTGGGATTGGGACATACCTGGAGATTTGGGGGACTGGAGTCTGGGATTGGTGGGGTTTGGGTAGGGCTTGGACCTCAGCGGGGTGGGATGCCGTAGAGTCAACTTTCCAAAACAGCCATTCCCCCCCCCCCCAGGGGAACGGACCTTTGTTGTCTGGAGAACAATGGTAATAGCAGGAGATCTCCAGATGCTACCTGGAGCTTGGCAACGGTAGGGTTGACTCCAGGACATCGTACCCCACTGAGGTCCTTTCCCCTCCAATATCTACCCTCAGATCTCCAGGAGTTTCCCAGCCAGCACCTGGCAACCCTGTCCCGCATACCCTGCTGATGGCTGCCGGGGTGGTGGTGGGGGCAATCCCGTCCTCTGAGATGGCGTAGGCAGTGACTGGCTCAAGGGGAGGGCTTTTTTTGGTAGAAAAAGCCCAGCAGGAACTCATTAGCATAATAGGCCACACCCAATAGCAGAAACTCATTAGCATATTAGGCCACACCCCTGACAGCACAGCTCATTAGCACATTAGGCCGCACCCCCGTGTTACCAGAAGTGTGCTCATCTAGCCACACCCACCTTTTGCTTCTTATTCTATTAACCTTGTTTGTTGTCAAAACCCAGAGCTTTTTTTGTAGCAGGAACCCTTTGTGTGTTAGGCCACACACCCCTGATGTAGCCAATCCTAATGAGTTTCTGCTGTTGGGTGTGGCCTGTTATGCTAATGAGTTCCTGCTGGGCGCGGCCAACTCGGGATCCAGCCGGAACTCCGTTCCTGTGCGTTCCTGCCCCAAAATAGCCCTGCTCCAGGGTAACACTTTCCTGCCTCTTCCTCTACCAGAACGGAGCACTGAAAATACAACTGGACTCCACCACCAGCAGCAGCACCTAGCTCCCCGGGGCCCCAGGAGGACCTAGAGATGCCAACTCCAGCTTGGGAAATTCCTGAGAAGTGGGCGGCAGCACATGGGGTGGAGTTTGGTGAGGGGAGGGAACTCAGGAAGGGTGTGCGATGCCACAGAGTCTGCTCCTCGGAGGGGCCATTTTCTCCAGGGGAACTGATCGCTGTAGTCTGGAGGCCGGCTCCAGTTCTGGGAGAACTCCAGACCCCACTTGAAGTTGGGCAACTGCCAAATCTGCCCTCTAAATTGTTTCCTCCTCCCCCTCAGAAGTCCTGAAAAAGAAATCACAGGTAGGCCATAAAGACCAGGGGAATTTTCTGGGAACAGAAAAGGCCGAGGAGTGGAAAGAGACGTCAGAAGACAGGACATCTGCAAGCCAGTGGCTGCAGTCACACAGAGCATTAGCCATACTGCAGAGACGGAAGATAGATGGATTTTTCCGGCCGTGATCAAACCGCAACATCTGGGAAGCGTAGAGCTCCCGTGGCTAACCCAAGGCTTCCTGCCGAAGATGCGCCGTAAAAAACTAGTACCTCCGAGGTACTAGTTTCCGGAAACCGCGGGGCAAGGGCGGGCGTCTGATCACGTTTCCGGTGGTAGCTAGTGGCATCCGGCGCCCGCCCATGTCCCATTGCAAAAAGGTCCCCCCCCCAAGTCTCCACAGGATGCGCACAAGCACCCAACGGCGCATGCGCACGAAGGGGAAAGCGAAAGTTTCATTGCTGCGCAGAATTGCACATACCGTTGATCGCGAAACCAAAAGTTCCACTCCTCCGTCCTTCGGCTTAAAAGAAAATACATGACCCCGTTTGCCACGGCAGCAGCGCCTGGCCATTGCTGGTGTGATCGCGCCGCGCCGCTTCTTTGCCATGCTGCAGTATTGTTGTGTGATCGCCACCCTCGTTTACCCGCCGGTGCCGAGGGAAGGACCCGTGGTGTGCCGCCGGCACGTCTGATCGCGTACTCATGGATCAAACTGCGCCGGGGCAATTAGCCACGCCTCCCCACCGCGATATCCGGCCCGTGTGACCGGGGCCAGTGATGGTCAAAACTCGGCGAGTGCCAAAACAAGTGCATAGGCTTACCAGCCTCCAGGTGGTTGTATAAAGACACCGTGAATGAATTACGAACAAAAGCAGAAAGATTCTATTGTACAAAACAATTCAAACAGTTTTAAATCATTATTAAAGTTCAACAATCGTTGAAACTTTATTTCAGTTATGTATGTGCTGACAACTGGGGATGTAGTAAATATGTTATAACATAGTGGATGTGACGCAGAAGTATATTGTCAGTTTCACAGCTAAAGAGTACCAGCTCTCTGAAGAAGCGGAACGGGAACACGGCAGTGAAGCCAGCCGCGTATAGCTGCTACTCCTGCAAGACGTAGAACCTTTGTTCTCCTGAAGTTCTTTTATACAAAGGATTTGTGGACTTCATTTAGAGTTTTCCCTTTGTATCAAGTCCTTTTTGATCCCAGCTCTTTAAGAATATATAAGGGGTTTGTTGAACTTTAACAAAGATTTAAAACTATTTGAATTGTTTTGTACAATATAATCTTTCTGCTTCTGTTTGCAATTCATTCACGGAGTGTCCTTATATTGATACAATCTCCTCCCGTGAGCTCTCATTTCGATATACTACCTGCAGGGGGTGGCCAGAGATCTCCCGCTTTTACCACTGGTCTCCAGGCGACAGAGATCAGTTCCCCTGGAGAAAATGGCTACTTTGGAAGGTGGGCCCCATAGAAGCCCCTCCCCTCCTCAAACCCCGCCCTCCCCAGGCTCCACCCCCCAAATCTCCAGGTATTTCCCAACCTGGAACTGGCAGTCCTAAAGCTCAGATGTTCTACAAAGCCATGGCAACCCTTCACATGCAACTCTTCCATATCCTCATCGGTTTGGGACGTAAACTCTCACTTCCTTCTTCTGTGCTCTCATTGTTTGCAAATTAATCGGTACCTCCTGTTAACAAATAATCCCACTAATCCAGTCCCCAAGCACTTTAAGCCTCTGTGAGCTTTGAGATGGCCTCTGAGCTTTCGTTCTTTGCCTCCACCTCTTTGTAAACTTAGCTGGCAGGCCCTAGTTCTGAAAAGACAGCTGACGCCAGTAAAGCAGCTGTAAGGTAAAAAAAGGTAAAGGTTTCCCTTGCTCGAAAGCCAGTCGAGTCCAACTCTAGGGATGTGGTGCTCATCTCTGTTTCCGAAGAGCCAGCGCTGTCCGAAGACATTTCCGTGGTCATGTGGCCGGTATGACTAAACACCGAGGCGCACGGAACGCTGTTGCCTTCCCACCGAAGTGGTACCCATTTATCTACTTGCAATTTCTTGCTTTCGAACGGCTAGGTTGGCAGGAGCTGGAACTAGAGACGGGAGCTCACTCCGTCATGCGGCACCCTGGGACATCTGGAAACCCATGTTCTAGGAAAAGAAAAGATGGAGCTAATGCCATCTAGGGCAGGAGATCGCCAGGGCTGAGCCCTGAAATTGGCAAAGAAAATGAAGTGTGGCCCCGGTCACACGGGCTGGATATCACAGGGGGAGGCGTGGCTGTTTGCCCCGGAGCGAACTACTGCGTGGCAGCCGGATCAAACGTCCCGCCCAACATCCCGCTGATGTCCCGTGGTTGGGGGGAGGTGCCAATCATACCTCACTCCTGCTGCGCGGCAAAGAAGCGGCGCCGCGGGTTTTTTTTTTTTTTTAACCCGTGTTCACATGCGCTGTTGGGTGCTTGTGCGCACTCGTGGAGACTTGACAAAAAAAACCTTTTTGCGACGGGACATGGGCGGGCGCCAGATGCCACGAGCTAACACCGGAAACGTGATCTGACGCTCGCCCTTGCCCCGCGCATCTTCGGAGTGAAGCCTCGGGTGAGCCACGGGAGCTCTACACTTCCCAGATGTGGCGGTGAGATCGCGCCCGGAAAATCCGCCTATCTTCCGTCTCTGTAGCATGCCTAATGCTCCGTGTGACTGGGGCCTGTGTGTGTTATTTTTAAAGAGCTGTTTCTACTCTTCTAACGCCTCACTCAAGATGACCTCTATTCAGTCCCAGGGATACGTTATGGAAAAACCAGGAATACTTCACCCCTTCACAATGATTGTTTTTATTCAGGGCAGGGGTGGGGGGGGGGGGGGAGGTGCCGGAACTCTCAGCAGGGAAATGAAGTGTTCAGTCTGTATAGGGAAAACTCACGGACATTTGAACATTTTGAAAAGAATTTTGTTGAAGAGGTTCTGGAACTCTGTTGAAGAGGTTCTGGAACTCTGCATTTACTCATAAGCAAATGTCTGTCACAGATTCAGTCGATCAATTGATCAATCATTAGTTGCTGTAGATTTTCCAGGCTGTGTGGCCGTGGTCTTGGCATTGTAGGACCTGACGTTTCGCCAGTAGCTGTGACTGGCATCCTCGGAGGTATAACACAGAAAGATGGAGGACTGGTGAAACGTCAGGTCCTACAATGCCAAGACCACGGGCACACAGCCCGGAAAATCTACAGCAACTAATGAACTCTGGCCGTGAAAGCCTTCAACAAATTAATTAATCAGTTTGACTGCGTCGGATTAGCCGCCTCAGGTGTGACAGTCCTCACAGTTCTTGAGCTTCTCTAGTGAGTAAGCCCAGCGCCCACACGTCTCTGATTTCCTGGCAAGAAGGGCATGAATTTCCAGGCAAGCTGGAGTCATCGCACCTGCCCGTCAGCAATTTAAGCTCGCAGAAAACTGCCTGAGAGCGAGAGAGAGATCCTGCAAGTGAGCGGTGTTCCGTTGATTCACGCCACGGCTGTGGGGTTGGACTAGATGACCTGCAAGGTCCCTTCCAACTCTGACATTCTGATTCTATGATTCTTCCCCTCCACAGCACACCCTGAGGGTCATTGGCACGGCCAAGCCACCCTTCCGGCACCAGACCAACACCATCTACACGCCCATGACTGCCCTCAAGCACGCCGACCCCACCGGGGCCCTGATGACTGACTCCTTCTACAAGCTGGTCTTCAAATACGACACCCTCCTGCATGTCAGCCTGAAGGCCATCCGCCTCCTCCGCTGGCAGGCCCACAAGATGAGGCAGGGGGCCCGGCTGCTGGGCTTCCGCTGAGGCTGCCCAGATGCCGGCAGAGCCGGGGGAGCCGAGGAACAGGGCTGCCAACTCTGGGATGAGACCTTCCTGGAGATTTGAGGGTGGAGCTTGGGGAGGGGGGGTTGGGGAGGGGGCTCATCAAGGTGTATTGCTGGAGACTCCGCCCTCCAAAGCCGCCATTTTCCCCAGGGGAACTGATCCCTGTCGTCTGGAGTCAGTTGTCCCTCTAAGCCGCGCAGTCTTGTGAGCAAAAATTCTACTTTGTGAGCTACTGGCATTAAAGCTGTGAGCAAGCGATTTGGCTGCTGCATAAATTAGTTTGCTCTGGAGCCCTCCTTCCTGAGCCGAGACAAAAATGTGTGAGCTGGAGGCTAAAAAACTGTGAGCTAGCTCACACTAACTCAGCTTAGAGGGAACACTGGTTGTGAGTCCAGGACATCTCCAGGCCTCACCTGGAGTTGGCGACGGTACCAAGGGAGCTGCTCGGCTCTGTTTCACCTTCCCAAAATCTGTCATTTATCTGTGCACTTTTAACTTTTTATTTTATTCACCCTATTTTGACCTATGGATTATAAGAATCCCAGACACTTTATGCCTGCTTGCTGTTTGATTTCACACCCTACGTTTCCCCCATTAAAAACCTGCCTTTCTCCCTGCTCCAGGGTCTGATGGCCGGGGATCTCAGGGTCAGTGGTGCGGTCTAGTGGTTGGAGTGTCAAACTATGATCGGGGACTCCCAGGTTCGAATCCCCGCTTTGCCACAGAAGTGTGCTGGGTGACCTTGGGCTAGTCATCAGGTCAGATCCAGCCAGATTTTCCTGCCAAATGCGTCCTTCATAAGAACATAAGAATATAAGAGACGCCAATGTTGGATCAGGCCAAAGGCCCATCCAGTCCAACACTCTGTGTCACACAGTGGCCAGAAATACCAGTGCCATCAGGAGGTCCCCCAGGGGGGCCAGGACATTAGAAGCCCTCCCACTGTTGACCCCCCCCCCCCAAGCACCAAGATGACAGAGCATCACTTGCCCCAGAGTCCCTATCTATCCCTTGTGTCTAATAGCCATTGATGGACCTCTGCTCCGTATGCTTATCTAATTCCCTTTTGAAGCCATCCATGCTTGTAGCCGCCACCACCTCCTGTGGCAGTGAATTCCATGTGTTAATCACTATTTGGGTGAAGAAGTACTTCCTTTTATCCGTTCTAACCCGACCACTCAGTAATTTCATGGAGTAAACACGAGTTCTTATATTGTGAGAAAGGGAGAAAAGGACCTCTTTCTCTACCTGCTCTTTCCCACGCATAATCTTATAAACCTCAATCATGTCTCCCCTCAGCCGTTGTTTCTCCAAGCTAAGGAGCCCTAAGCGCCTTAACCTTTCCTCATAGGGAAAGTGTTCCAACCCTTTTATCATTCGAGTTGCTCTTTTCTGCACTTTTTCCAAAGCTATAATATCCTTTTTAAGGTGTGGTGACCAGAACTGCACACAGTATTCCAAATGAGGTCTCACCACTGATTTATACAGGGGCATTATAATATTGGCTGATCTGTTTTCAATACCCTTCCTAATAATCCCCAGCATTCATCCCATATAGCTTTGTCCCTGCATGTCCTGGGAGCCCCAGCCTGGCCTGTTTGGGCGGTCAAAAGCCAGTTTGGCATAGTGGTTAGGAGCACAGACTCTAATCTGGGAGAACCGGGTTTGATTCCCCACTCCTCCGCATGGAGCTCCTGGTATGACCTTGGGTCAGTCATAAGTTCTCTCAGAGCTGTTCTCTCACGAGCAGTCCTTGAAAGAGCTCTCTCAGCCCCGCCCACCTCACAGGGTGTCTGTTGTGGGGAGGGGGAGGGGGAGGAGTTTGCAAGCCGCTCTAAGACTCCTTTGGGTAGTGATGGGTGGGGTATAAATCCAATCTCTCCTCCTCCTCTTCCTCCTTCCCCTTCCCCCTGCTCCCCACTTTGGATCCATCTCTCTCTCTCTCTCTCTCTCTCTCTCAGCTTAAGCTACCTGTCACGGTTATTGTTTTGAGGATAAAATGGAGGGGGGGAGAGAACCACACGAGCTGCACTGGAAATGTCTGGATGAAATAAAACTGCAGGAATGGGGGCAGGTGAGGCTGAGCTCTGCTTGCGAGTAGGGCCTTAGTGTTGCCAACTCTGGGCTGGGAAATACCTGGAGATTTGGGGGGTGGGGCCTGAGGAGGGCGGGGTCTGGGGGAGGGAGGGACTTCAGTGGGGTCTAATGCCAGAGAGTCCACATTCCAGAGTGGCCATTTTCTTCAGGTGAACTGAACAGTTGTAATCCCTGGAGATCAGTTGTAATCCCAGGAGATCTCCAGCCACCACCTGGAGGTTGGCAACCCTGAATCGTGCCTGAGGGAAGAAACCTGGGAACCGCCTTTCGGCTGTTGTAGCCCCTTAGGAGGGAGGGAGCAAATGTCCCTTATAAATAAAAGCCGAATTGTGGTGGCACTTCTCTAGAACATTCCACACGCTCCAAAATCAGTTCGCTCTCTGATCTGTCATTCAGAGGGTCTCCCTATCCACTGGCTGCTTTGCCTGAGTCCTGTCTCCAACATTCTAAACATTTTGCTGTTCCTCCCCCCCCCACAGCCAGTCAGAACACAGAGGTTATTTGCATATGCAGCCTCATTGGCCTCTGCCTCGGAACACAGAGGTCGTTTGCATATGCGACTTGATTGGCTTTTGCCTCTAACATTCTAAACAGTTTTGCTGCTCTAAGGTAAAATGTGTCCAATCTCCAGGTGAGGGCTGGAGATCACTCAGAATTACAACTGCTTTCCAGATGGCAGAGATCAGTTCCCCTGGAGAAAATGGTGGGCTCTGTATCCTTATATGCTGCTGAGGTGGCCTCCGTATGACAGCCAATGTGATGTAGCAGTCAGGGCTTCAGAGCATGGGAGAGGCTGCAGGTGTGTGGGGGGTGGAAAGCTGAAGAGTGAGGGGGAAATAAAGGTAGGTTGATGATTGGCTGGGCAGGAGATAGGGTTGCCAACTCCAGGTGGGAAGTTCCTGAAGATGTGAGGGATGGAACCTGGAGAGGGTGAGGTTTCAGGAGAAGTGGGACCTCGGACAGGTACAAAGCCATAGACTCCACCCTCCAATCCAACTATTCCCTTCTGGGGAACCATCGTTGCCAATCTCCAGGTGAGGGCTGGAGATCACTCAAAATTACAACTGTTCTTTAGGTAGCAGAGATCAGTTCCTCTGGAGAAAATGGTGGACTCAGTCTCATTATACCCTGCTGAGGTCGCCACAGCAAATTGACACTGAGTGTCCAAGGCTGGGGCACCCGCCCAGAGCCTCTTTCTAGAGGCCGTTGTATTTATTTCCGCAATGGGCCTTTTTCCTAGTGAAGAAATAAAACCTGAACGCTTTTGTCGGCCTCCCTTTTGTTCACACCTAGTTTGCATACGAGTATTTTTATCTTCCTGTCAATCTTTTGCATTTGCAGTCCTTTCCCTTCCCTTTCTGCTTCATTGTATGTAGGTACTCCTTTTTAAAGCTCCCTTTTCAGCGTCTCTTTTGGTTCCTTCAGATGTGGTGGGTAACAGTCTGGGCTCCCTCCTCCTCCTCCTGGTGGAATCTATATACTAATAGCCAAGGCGCCCCCTGAGTGCGGATATCTAAATCTGCACATCGGGGGCACCTAGGGGGGCAGAGAGATTTTCCTGCAGTCCCCAGGTGTGCAGAAAAATCCAGGGCTTTTTTTGTAGAAAAAGCCCAGCAGGAACTCATTAGCATAATAGGCCAAACCCCTGATAGTATAGTGCATTAGCCTATTAGGCCACACCCCCATGTTACCAGTAGTGTGGTCATCCAGCCACACCCACCTTTTGCTTCTTATTCTGTTTACCTTGTTTGTTGTCAAAACCAGGGCTTTTTTTGTAGCAGGAACTCCTTTGCATGTTAGGCCACACACCCCTAATGTAGCCAATCCTAATGCGTTCCTGCTGTTGGGTGTGGCCTGTTATGCTAATGAGCTCCTGCTGGGCATGGCCAACTCAGGAGCCAGCCGGAACTCCGTTCCTGTGCGTTCCTGCCCAAAAATAGCCCTGGAAAAATCTAAAAAGTTGGAAAAAATATACAGGGAATATTTAAATCCCCCCAAAAGCAAAAGCGTTCCCTGCACATGCGCAGAGAATGCTCTGGCTGTTGGGTAGAGGCTCGGCAGGCCCAGCAGCTGGGAGCCACTCAGGCCTCGCCGCCGGTGCCTTGGGGGGTGGGAGAAGGCTTGGCAGGCCCACGCAGCTCCCTGCTGGTGTGGGGGAGAAGGATTCGCAAACCCGGCAGCTGGGAGCCGGGCGGGCCTCGCCGTCGGTGCTGGGGGGGTTGGGGGGAAGGATTGCTGGGGCCAGGTCTCACCATCGGTGCGGGGGGTGGGCGGGGGAGAAGGCTCACCTGCGGCTGCTTCCTCCTCCTCCTCCACATGCTTGGGAGAAAAGAGGGCCTATAAGTATTTGAAATACATAAATATTAAATAAATACTCGAAAACTGCAGGGGGAAAGGCACAGACCCTTTGGCCCAGAGGGAAAAAATTATGCAGTATGAGCAACACTACATATGATAAATCTGTGTCATTTGCATCATTGGTGGAGGTTGCAAAATTCTGTTTTCTTAGGTCAGAACTTGCTACAGACTTTGGATCCCCCTGGCTAGAGGTTGTGATTTCCCAAGCAAACGACTGGATTGGTGCAGGAGCGCTTCTTTCTTCTTGTGGACCTGAAGCCAAGACTGACATAAACAGGGATTGCGCCCTGCTGAGAGTTCAGAGGCAGAGAGGAATCCCCCCCCCCCCCCCACCTTGAGAAATGTCCCAACAAACTATGGCCTCTGCAACCGGTTGATGAACCTGTGTGTCTGGTGACACCTAGTGGTCCCTTTGGGTAACCCTTTGTCTCCATTCTTTAGGTGGGGAGGGTGGGTCTTGGAGATTAATAAAAAGCCCCCAGAATTCCAGTGACACCTCAAAGACAAAAACAAGGCTTCCCAGC